TCACAAATAGAACTGCCCGGTAAACCGTAGGCAGAGAGAGAGAAGAGGACAACAAACGAGGGGCTGTGACAAACTGTTTCGTCGGAGTTTATATATATATATATATCGTCAAATAGAATATATATATATATATATATATAGATATAGATATATAGATATATTTATCGTCAAATAGATATATATATATACAATATTTTTAAAGCAACTAAAGAAAAAGATAAGAAGAAAAAAAAAAATTGAAGTACTAAGGGGAATGAGCAACGAAAAGGTGATGAGAACCGAGAGAGAGAGATGAGGAAGTTAACAGAAAAATTTTGGCAGGGGGGAAGTAGGACTCTGTAGGAGGTTGATGGGGGTTGAGTTGGGATGGAGGGAGAGAGAGAAGTGAAAAAGGTGAGGAGAAAAGGGTGATAATAGAGAGGGCGATGAGGGGAGAGAATGGAGAGATGAGGAGGAAAAGACGGAAAAGGGTGGGGGGGAAAACAAGAGATTAGTAAAGATGACTGAGGAGGGGAAAAGAGGTTGGGAGAGAGAAGATTGGTGAGGGAGAGAGATGATACAGTTTTTAGATGGTCAAGAGCTGCAAGGTCACAAAGATCCAATGGATTTTGGCCTTCAGACAGGCCCTTGGAAGAAGGGGGGGTTAGTGTTTGCTGCAGAGCCGCCAGCCGGGTGGTCACATTTAATAAAAATGATATGTTACCAGGTCGAGACCCCCCTGACCGTCCGGGGTTGTCCGATCGGACAAGTGGTCGGACGTCCTCTCCGGGCAATCTGTCCGAAGCCCGAATGCCCAAAAGAAAAAGAAACAAAAAACAAAATTAAAAAACTCCGGAAAAAAACTATGTTATGCAGAAAAATAAGCTGAACAACTTTTGCCTCGGTGTTACATCAAAATTCTTTATCAAATTCAAAATATAAAATAAAATTGAAATCTGTCAGTCAGTCTGTCCGTCGGTCAACCATTCTTTCAATCTGGCAGTCAATGAATTGCAATTATGTGTGTGTTTGGGGTGTGTGTGTGTTTGTGTGTGCTGTGTGTGGGGGGGGGAGGGGGGGTGTCTGTGTGTGTTTGTGTGTGTAGACAGTCCATCCGTGTGTGTGTGTGTGTGTGTACATATTGCGTGTGTGTGTGCAGACAGTGTGTGTGTGTGCGAGTAGATAGTGTGAATGTACGTGACTGTGTGTATGTGTGCTCACGTGTGTGTCAGTCTGTGTGGATAGAACGTGTGTGTGTGTGTGTGTGTGTGTGTGTGTGTGTGTGCACGGATGCCGCTGCCACTGCAGCTGCTGCATCTGCCGAAGCGGATGGTCCACACGCTGCGTCAGACGAAAGAGCTGCAGTCACTGCATGTGCAACAATTGCTCACTGCAGCAGCGGGCCCTGCATTTGAACTCCCCAAACAATCGACCCCCCTACACCCCACCATCACACCTCGCACACTGTTTCTGAATGTTTTTTTTTCTTTTTGCTCAGAACAGCCTAATTCTTTTTTTTGGGGGGGGTCCCCTAGTGGTCCGCAGACCCCCCCCCCTTTGTCCTTTTTTTTTTTGGTTTTTTTTTTCGCAAAAAAAACGTTCTCCCCATCTTCCGGAGACGTCCGGGGGAGATGTCTCCCCATCGGACAGATGGCTCTTCCGCACTGTAGCGCAGCCCCTTAGTTAGGGGGGTCTTCAAAATTGCTGCAAAACCAATGTTGCAGCAGTTGGATCTTATCAGATTCATCAGATCTGCAGCAAATCTTCATGGTGGCTAAGATTTTAATCAGCCACCTCAAAAGAGCCTGCAGTGCAGCCCCCTCTCCAGGGGGGGCTTCAAGACCTCCAAATGATATCACGTGGCACTTTAGGAAATGGCAAGGGGACGGGAGAGGTGGAGGAAAAATATTTTTTTGCGAATAACTTTACATCCGCTAGACAAACCTATACTAATAGCGCTCATCAAAAAGCAAGCGTGCCGAGTTTTGATCTTGAAAAAATCGTCGTCTTTAATATAACCGTAGCTCGAAAACTAAAAGACAAAATTGGCAATTTATGGCTCGCTGGAAGCGGTTCGTCGAGAGCTTTCCAACAAACGAAAAACAAAAAAATGGTCACCGGACTCGAAAGTTGTAATAGAAGATGTGCACCAGTGTCATTTTGTGGGCAGAGTGGCAACCTCGTTGCTAGTGATGGAGTGAGTGGAAAGGCGCAGGAACATCGGGCCTTGCTGCACTACTCTTGACATGCGCAAAAGACAAAAATCATGGCCGTGTATCTTTCCATATTCTAGCGGAAGATTCACTCTCGTTGTCCACATTTCGAGAGTAGTGCAGCGACGCCCATGACCTGCTCGAATACCAGTGTAACAGGAACTGCCTGGGTGGCAGATCCTGTGCCCTGGACATGAAGAAGAAAGGAGGGATGGACGTGGAGATGGAGATGGATGAAAGACACTACATCACCACCGACTGAGTCACGCACTGCACCGTACTCCAAACATGTACAATGAAAAAAATAATACAAACTGCAGTTGGGGTATACCCCTGCGGAGTGACTGGACCAGACTGGATTGGTACCGACTGCGGTGCCTGAGTAGACTAGACTGAATAGACGGCCTATGAAATCAGGCCAATGACCTTGTCCCACAGGGTGAACAAAAAGGGGCAAATAGCCCTGGCTATAGGCCAGTCATAAATAGAGGCCCTGCAAAAGAGAAATTGAGACTGCCAAGGGCTGGAGGCCCAAGAGCATGACAAAAAGTTTGTCCCTGTCACACAAGAGGAGGGGGCTGGCATAAACTTGAGAGAGTGATAAGGTGTGTTTGGGGACACGCATTGGAATTGTTAGAGTACAAAAACAGCGATTTCGTCAAAACAGACATATTATACATTTTTTGAACGAAGTTGCCAAAATTTGATGAAATTTTGGGTACGGCGTTCTGAAAATGCCCTAGTAGCCCCCGATGTATCTGGACTCAGCCAGAGTCCAGATACATCCAGGGGGTACGACGTTTGGAAGTTTCCTGGGATCGATTTCAGATGCACATTTCAGCCCACTCCAACAGGTTGCAGGTTTGTTAAACTTTTTTTTGCCTTGTGGTAGTACTCCTGATTTTCTATCAGCAGGTTGCAGACTCTATATCTGGAGGGAGCGATTAATTTGCAATTTTCAGAATCATCAGATTGCGCACTTGGACGCAATGATTATGCAATGAGCTAACGCAATATAGCTTCAATGCACCATGCTTGGAGCCTCTGGGAAATTACACCCGGGTTCCCAGCCCTAGCCGTCGTTATCGTTATCATCAATATTATTAGTGCTGTTATTATCAGCATCGCCACTGCTCCCAACAGCACCGTTGTTGTTGTCAATCCCTTTGAGACCATGAACAGTGCGTTTGGTAATCTGGAACTGATTGTTGTTGTTGTTGTTGTTGTTGTTGTTGATGATGTTGTCGTTGTTGTTGTTGTCGTCACTATCGTCATTGTTGTTACCATCGTTGTTGTTGTTGTTGTTGTTGTTGTTGTTGTTGCTGTTGTCATTGTTGTTGTTGTCACTGTTGTTGTTGTTGTCGTCGTCGCTGTTGTTGTTAGTGTCGTTGTTGTCCTCGAAACTTCCCTCCACGTCGTCGTCCTTGTCGTCGTTGTTGCCCATCGGATCCCTCTCGGCACATCTCCGCCGCTCCTCCAGTTGATCGCATGATGTTGTCGGTGATATCGCCGTTGTTGACGTTGCCGCTGCTTCTGATGTAGAAAGCAGCGTTGTAGAAACAGTTGTTGGTATTATTATCTCAATGGATGCAAGCCCGTCTTCCAGCAGAAAGCGCAGGTCACGACCCTTTGCAAAAAGAGCCGTACAGGTATTCATCATGCTATCCGCCCGCCGCCAATCGATGAATGCGTCGAGCTGGGGATCCAGCCCCTCCTCCAGCTCCCACATACCCTGCATGATGTCTTTGGTCGTGTCGTTCAACCAGCCCGCCAGTGAGATGGCCCCCACTTCGGTCCCTGGCTCTTCATTTGACCGCTCAGACAATTCCTCAACAAGCTCCTGTAGGCGCCTGCATCCTCTCTCCAAGATGATCAGCCATTCTTCCGCTCCATGTTGCATCTCCCCTTCGTTATCGTGTTGTGTTAACCCCGCCGAGTCCATCGCGCCGCTAATCAAAATCAACAGTTTAGCCAGCACATCCCCTATACACACGTCGCCGTCCCTCCGACCAGCCTCGCCTTCCACAACGCTCACTGCCATGTGTCGGGCGCAAGTATAGGCCCTGCTTCCCAAGGAAGAACGCCCCCCGAGATGGCAGGTCGAGCCAGGTGCCACCAGACCTCACTGGTTGGGCTAGCGCAGGCGCCGCAAGGCTGTACTTGAGTGCAATTCTTCGGAAGTAGTTGTCAAATCTGTTCGGCAGATGTGGGCAATAGCAGGCTCCACACCCTGTGAGAGACCTCCCCATTCCACCTTCCATCCTCCCGTAGCGATCTGGTTTTCCTGATATGGCTGTGTGGCCGAGGTCTTCATTGGGTTCGTGCAGGTATGGACCTAGAAGAGCTTTGCGACTCTCTCGGGAGGGGAGGGGGAGAATCTAAGGCTAGGTTCCTTTTGTTTATGGCTTCTGATACAGGGGAATGGCTCGACCCAAGATTGAGGGTTGAGGCCGAATGGTCCCTGCTGTGTTTTTCCTGCTCAAAGACACATGTACTTGGCCTTGAGCACTGGGCCCGTAATAAATATGCTAAAAAAAAAGAAAAAAAAGGATTACATGACCTCCATTTAGCATTTGTCCGAGGAAAAACGCAGAGGATGACTGATGAGCGTGCAGAGGATGCATTGTGTGTGTGCAGATATCTGCTCACAGACTTGCCCCTCAAAAGACGCGTTTTTTTTTCGTCCTGCCTCTCAAACAGCCGCCTTACATTGGGATGCCCCACCGACAGCTGTTCATATATATCAAATATCCTCAACATCACTTCGGCCTGACATCTACTTAGTATCCCCGACAAGTACCAGGGACCAAGTCGCACCACTACCGTCTTCACCCGAATAGAATGCCCTGTCATTATCGCTGTATCTGGTCTGCAAGCCGCCGTCAACACAGCTATAATGACCGGGTGTTCTATTCGGGTGAAGACGGTAGCATCGGTTCAGACACTGCCTGCACACCACCCAAGGGTTGTTCATGGTGTTGTATGTTGGTTCTGGGTTTCACATGGGTTGCTTGGCGGTGTTCGTCTTGGCCCTTGGGTGTTCTGTTGATATCCGCAGTCTCGCATATCACACGCCTGTGCCATTTCCACTAGTCGTTCACATGGTAGAGTCATCCGATTACACGTTACAAGGTCAAGGGTTCGAGCTTGGTTCGGACCTTGGGGGGGTCATTGTCCAGCTTACCCCGTTCTCTCTTCGATATACACACATGATGCTCCCTATACATGTGTATACATTGATTCACAGAGCACACACAGCCTTTGGGCGTATACATAGCTTGCGAATCATACATGGCCTACGGGCTACATACACAAGTTTCCACACAAAGTCCTGTCTGTACATCTTGACACATAGATTCACGGAGCATACACAGCCTTCGGGTATCCACATACATTGTGGACTACACAACTATCAGACTGGGGGGGTCTAGTCACTGGGTGGGGTCTAGCATCTGCAGTAGGGACAGGTATGGGCCACCGGAGTTCCTACTGATATTTGGATAGAACTGTCTAGTGGCTATATATAAGTCTTAAATCCTGGCGTAAGGGTAGGTGTATAAGTCGCTCAGGCCAGTCCTAGTTCCGCCTGGCCTTGGGTAAGCTAGGGGAAGGACGGTAGGACTGCTTCAATGGGTGCTACCCTGTCTGAAACCTAGGCCCCAGAGTCTGCCTGTAGTAGATTGTCTGGGCCTGGCGTCTGAAGTTCCCGTTCGACAAGGCTAGTCCACTTCCGCTTTCACCAGGGCTAGGCTGGGCGACCTATCAGCCCTGGTGCCTATCACTGCTGTTCAGTCCAAGTTGCCTGGCAGTGCCCATTGGTAGGGTAATGGTCCTGAGTGCTGGTCACACGGAGGTAGGATAGTGGGATAGGGGGTGCGCTAGGAGTATTGACGTGAGGATGGGATGCGCGGTGGTCTCATATATTCCAGGACACCCACGGCCTACTGCTCCAGGTGATCAGTGTGTACTCAGTGACTGGCCTCTACAACACCATGGACTTTTGAAAAGTGGGAAAAAAAAAAAAAAAAAAAGATTCCTTGACGAGGGTGCGCGGGTGTAGCCTACATAATAGCGTACGGGAAGTGATAGTATACACAGAGCTCATGTCTGCTGCTAGGAGAATTGACAGCAGACTCTAACAGATTCTATGTAGTGCTCTGCTACCCCCATCCATCCAGCGAACAGCCCCTGTTTGTTTGAACAGACAAGTACTTGGAATGACAGCAAGCCCCTGGGCCCTCTACAAAGAACAAAGGGCATCACCACACCACTGTCGAAATGTGCAAAATGAGAACGAACTTTCCGCTAGAACATGGCCAGATGCGCCCGCCCTATTTTTGTCCCTTTTACATTTCGTGAGTGGTGTGGCGATGCCCAAATTTTGGCAGGTATGCAAAGCGGCTGTCATGTAGGAAAGCACCTAAGGCTGCTGTGCACTTCTACCCGCCAAGTTTCATTCGTTGTAGGAGGGCCCTGCAGCTTGCTGTTATTACAAATACATGTCTGTTCAAGGGGCTGTTCGCTGGATGAATGGGGGTAGCAGAGCACTACATAGAATCTGTTAGAGTCTGCTGTCAATTCTCCTAGCAGCAGACGAGATCTGTGTATACTATCACTTACTGTAGGCTATCATGTAGGCAGGCAAGCGCAGCCCTGAAAGTAAGTGGGCCATAGCACAGACCCTAAAATTAGTAGGCCAAGGTGCAGGACGGAAAGTTAGCAGGGAGTAGAGCAGCTCCAAAAGCAGGTAGGCCATAGCACAGGCCCAAGGGCCGGCCATAGCGCAGCCCCGAAAGGCAGTGTAAGTCATAAGTTGCTGGGCCGTACGGCAACCCCGAAAGTTGGCAGGCCATAGCAGCCCCAAAAGCTCATAGGCCATAGGAGCCCTGAGCACATGGCAGCTGCAAAAGTATATAGCCTCGAAGGCAGGGTTGCATGCCTGCCGACCGCCGACCCCGACCACAGACCGTATTCCAGCCAACCCGTAGGGCCGACCGGTCGGCAGTCTGCCGACCAGTCAGAAAACAACCATCCACTGATTTTTTTTCAAATCTGAGTTGGGGGCTGTAGTGCACTTGCTGAGAACAGCCCAAATCCGCTGAGAAACTTTTCGAGATTGGAGGGGGGGGGGAATGCGTGGGTCAGGGTTGGAGTATAGGGGAGGTATGGGGGTGGTACAGAGGGTGTTGGGGCCGATTTGGGGGTGTTAGGGGGGTGTATGGGGGGTGTATGGGGGTATTGGGGGCCGCTATGGGGGTGTTGGTGGTGTTACTAGGGGTTCCGGACCCCAAAACAAAAAAAAAAACAATTGTGGGGTGCCGACGGCCCCCAACCGGTAGGTGCCAACCAGCCGACCCGTCGGCAGGTCATCAGCCGACCAGTCAAGGGCCGCCGGCCATCGGGGTGTACAACACTGCTCGAAAGTACATGACTGATGATGACTCCGAAAGCGAATGGTAGCCGTGGAAGTACATAGGCCCGAAAGAACATGGCACCTGAAGCACATAGCAGCCCCCAAAGTAGAGTGCATAGCGGCGCCGACACTACATAGCCCTGAAAGCCCATACCAGCCCCAAAGTATGTAGCAGCCGTGAAAGTGTATAGCCCCGAAAGCACATTGCAACCCCAAAAGTACATACCCTCCAGAGCATATGGTACTGAAATAATGGCAGCCCTAACGTACATAGCCTCAAAAGCACATAGCCTCGAAAGCACATAGGCCCGAGGGCGCGTGGCAGCTCAAGACTGCCTAGCTCCGAAAAAACATAGAAGCCCCGAAAGTACATAGCAACCCCTGAAGGCACCTGGCAGCCCCGAAGGTACATAGCAGTCCTGAAAGTGAAGTACACAGCGGCCCCATCACAATTGGGTCCACATCTACATGTGGAATGTTGACTACAGAGTGATTAGCAGTCTGAAATCGAGGGGTGGACAAACGCAAACGCATCTGTGGAACTCATCTTCCTCTTGTCGTGGCAAGGTCTCCGCGCACATCAACTGGGAATATTATTAAAACTTAAGTGTGAAAAGCACCCGCTGTAAGACGCTGGTCGCGGGCCTAAGTGAAACACTAATTTCCATAAGTCACTTGGTGATACTCATGTTCCTAGCCCCAAAATGTACAACAGATGAGGTCAATTACCCCCCCCCC